GAAAGGAGCTGTTTTCTGGTTCGATGGCATGGACGCCGTGTCCGACTTACTAAATGTTACACTTTCAGATAACATCTTTAGTCGGTATCTTGCTGTTTCTATTTCCCCGAATTCAGTTTCAAGAACAAACAGGTTTTGGGAATTCAAGGGCTGTAAAATTCTTATCACTCTTCCTATTTGGTCACCGTCAACTTTAACTAGGTAAGTGACCTTGATCGGGGTTAGCCTAACGGCGGCCATGTTTGTTTACAAACAATGCAAACGATTGTTTGGTGGGTTTTTTAAAGATTATATAATTTAAAAAGACTAGTACTATTTATAACGCAGTTTTATTCCAAAATAATAACGTCTAATAAAAAGAATATTCATATTCTTTAACCTTCATGTTTTCTTTTTTAGATTTCGGAATGTGTGATTACATTACATAATGTCAATTTATCAATGAACTGTTTTAAAAGTCCCGAATAAACCTTATATTATCATATAACAAGAAGACAAAGTCATCAATATCCCCCTCAATGGCAAAATACTCTTCATGATTATGTCTACGAGTTATGATTATGTCAAATATTTATGTGTGTATATAGAAAAGTGGAAGGAGAGTATTGAAAGGTTTTGAAAGTTCTGCTCCAGAAAGGAGCACTGTCACCAATTTCATTCTATGTCAAACTTGTTGCCATGGAAACGCCAAAAATATTTTATTCAGAATTCCAAAACTACCAAAAGGCACAAGTACACCACCAGATCTATCTATGTGCCAAGTTTGGTGAAGAAATAGTGAACAGTTTTAGAGTTCAGCTCGGAAAAGAGCACAACCACAATTTCACAAGTTTGTTGCCATGGAAACGCCAAAAATATTTTATTCAGAATTCTAAAACTGAAAGGGCACAAGTTGTTGCCATGGAAATGCACAACCCACCAATATTTTGCCATTCAAGAAACTTGTTGCCAAAACTACCAAAATTTTATTCAGACCAAAACTATCACCACTACACCACCAGATCTATCTATGTGCCAAGTTTGGTGAAGAAATATTGAACAGTTTTAGAGTTCTGCTACGGAAAAGAGCACTACCACCAATTTCAGTCTAAGTCAAACTTGTTGCCATGGAAACGCCAAAAATATTTTATTCAGAATTCCAAAACTATCAAAAGGCACAAGTACACCACCAGATCTATCTATGTGCCAAGTTTGGTGATGAAATAGTGAATGGTTTTAGAGTTCTGCTCCGGAAAAGAGCACTACCACCAATTTCAGTCAAAGTCGACCTTCTTGCCATGGAAACGCCAAAAATATTTTATTCAGAATTCCAAAACTACCAAAAGGCACCAGTACACCACCAGATCCAAGCATGTTCCAAGTTTGGTGAAGAAATATTGAACGGTTTTAGAGTTCTGCTCCGGAAAAGACAAATGTGCACGGACGGACGGACGGACGGACGGTCGGGCGGACGGACAGACGGACGGACGGAGTCCATTTTAATACCCCCCGCAAAATGCGTTGCAGGGGATAAAAAAGTGAATAGCGAACTACGGATATAATGAACTAATTTCAGTGGTCCCTTGGAGTTCGTTATAAAGGTATTTTACTGTACCTTCAATGCCATCTTTCTACCACATCCCGTTATAGCACTGTTAGAGTTGGTCACTGTCCTGTATCACACTAGGCCGATTTTTCAAGAAGCCATTGTTTTTATGTATTGATATATTGTGCCTATCCTCAGTGGAGGGTGTGTGACACATGGCACAGCCGTGGCAAGGAGACAACACAAAGCCTCCAGGCAGTGCCATTTATTTGAATTAGCCACTATTAAAAACACATCAAAAGGCAACAATACTTGTTTGTTTACTAGTGATGCTAACTTATCAAAGAACAAATAACATCTAGAAACACATGAAATTATCCCAGGAGAAACATGAGGTGTATATACATGACTATAGCAATGATTTCATTACAAAATGCCAAGTGTTTATTTATGTTTGAAATTCCTTAGCTCATTCTTGCAACTGACGGGTGGTAGTTCAATATAAACTGGGACGTGTTGTCTCCCCATGGTCTGATTCTTCAAGGACAACTTCAACACTTGATGTACACCCACCACAACTAGCCCCAAGATCTGCAGGTAGTATTATCCTGTGGAAGTAGCGAGGTGAGAGATAGGTAGAGTGACAGAGAGGTAATTACTTCAACACTTGATGTACACCTACAACGACTAGCCCTAAGATCTGCAGGTAGTATTATCCTGTGGAAGTAGCGAGGTGAGAGATAGGTAAAGTGACAGTGAGGTAATTACTTCAACACTTTATGTACACCTACCACAACTAGCCCTAAGATCTGCACGTAGTATTATCCTGTGGAAGTAGCGAGGTGAGAGATAGGTAGAGTGACAGAGAGGTAATTACTTCAACACCTGATGTACACCCACCACAACTAGCCCCAAGATCTGCAGGTAGTATCATCCTGTGGAAGTAGCGAGGTGAGAGATAGGTAAAGTGACAGTGAGGTAATTACTTCAACACTTTATGTACACCTACCACAACTAGCCCTAAGATCTGCACGTAGTATTATCCTGTGGAAGTAGCGAGGTGAGAGATAGGTAAAGTGACAGTGAGGTAATAACTTCAACACCTGATGTACACCCACCACAACTAGCCCCAAGATCTGCACGTAGTATTATCCTGTGGAAGTAGCAAGGTGAGAGATAGGTAGAGTGACAGTGAGGTAATTACTTCAACACCTGATGTACACCCACCACAACTAGCCCCAAGATCTACAGGTAGTATCATCCTATAGAAGTAGCAAGGTGAGAGATGGGTTGAGTGAGTGAGGTAATTACTTCAACACCTGATGTACACCTACCACAACTAGCCCCAAGATCTGCAGGTAGTATTATCCTGTGGAAGTAGCGAGGTGAGAGATGGGTTGAGTGAGTGAGGTAATTACTTCAACACCTGATGTACACCCACCACAACTAGCCCCAAGATCTACAGGTAGTATTATCCTGTGGAAGTAGCGAGGTGAGAGATAGGTAGAGTGACAGAGAGGTAATTACTTCAACACCTGATGTACACCCACCACAACTAGCCCCAAGATCTGCAGGTAGTATTATCCTGTGGAAGTAGCGAGGTGAGAGATGGGTTGAGTGAGTGAGGTAATTACTTCAACACCTGATGTACACCTACCACAACTAGCCCCAAGATCTGCAGGTAGTATTATCCTGTGGAAGTAGCGAGGTGAGAGATGGGTTGAGTGAGTGAGGTAATTACTTCAACACCTGATGTACACCCACCACAACTAGCCCTAAGATCTGCAGGTAGTATTATCCTGTGGAAGTAGCGAGGTGAGAGATAGGTAGAGTGACAGAGAGGTAATTACTTCAACACCTGATGTACACCCACCACAACTAGCCCCAAGATCTGCAGGTTGTATTATCCTGTGGAAGTAGCGAGGTGAGAGATAGGTAGAGTGAGTGAGGTAATTACTTCAACACCTGATGTACACCTACCACAACTAGCCCCAAGATCTGCAGGTTGTATTATCCTGTGGAAGTAGCGAGGTGAGAGATAGGTAGAGTGAGTGAGGTAATTACTTCAACACCTGATGTACACCTACCACAACTAGCCCCAAGATCTGCACGTAGTATTATCCTGTGGAAGTAGCGAGGTGAGAGATAGGTAGAGTGAGTGAGGTAATTACTTCAACACCTGATGTACACCTACCACAACTAGCCCCAAGATCTGCAGGTAGTATTATCCTGTGGAAGTAGCGAGGTGAGAGATGGGTTGAGTGAGTGAGGTAATTACTTCAACACCTGATGTACACCCACCACAACTAGCCCCAAGATCTGCAGGTAGTATTATCCTGTGGAAGTAGCGAGGTGAGAGATAGGTAGAGTGACAGAGAGGTAATTACTTCAACACTTGATGTACACCCACCACAACTAGCCCCAAGATCTGCAGGTAGTATTATCCTGTGGAAGTAGCGAGGTGAGAGATAGGTAGAGTGACAGTGAGGTAATTACTTCAACACCTGATGTACACCCACCACAACTAGCCCTAAGATCTACAGGTAGTATCATCCTGTGGAAGTAGCGAGGTGAGAGATAGGTAGAGTGACAGTGAGGTAATTACTTCAACACCTGATGTACACCCACAACTAGCCCCAAGATCTGCAGGTAGTATCATCCTATAGAAGTAGCGAGGTGAGAGATAGGTAAAGTGACAGTGAGGTAATTACTTCAACACCTGATGTACACCCACCACAACTAGCCCCAAGATCTACAGGTAGTATTATCCTGTGGAAGTAGCGAGGTGAGAGATAGGTAGAGTGACAGAGAGGTAATTACTTCAACACTTGATATACACCCACCACAACTAGCCCCAAGATCTGCAGGTAGTATTATCCTGTGGAAGTAGCGAGGTGAGAGATAGGTAGAGTGACAGTGAGGTAATTACTTCAACACCTGATGTACACCCACCACAACTAGCCCCAAGATCTACAGGTAGTATCATCCTGTGGAAGTAGCGAGGTGAGAGATAGGTAGAGTGACAGTGAGGTAATTACTTCAACACCTGATGTACACCCACCACAACTAGCCCCAAGATCTGCACGTAGTATTATCCTGTGGAAGTAGCGAGGTGAGAGATAGGTAAAGTGACAGTGAGGTAATTACTTCAACACCTGATGTACACCCACCACAACTAGCCCCAAGATCTACAGGTAGTATCATCCTATAGAAGTAGCAAGGTGAGAGATGGGTTGAGTGAGTGAGGTAATTACTTCAACACTTGATGTACACCCACCACAACTAGCCCCAAGAGGCATGTAGTATCATCCTATAGAAGTAGCGAGGTGAGAGATGGGTTGAGTGACAGTGAGGTAATTACTTCAACACTTGGTGTACACCCACCACAACTAGCCCCAAGATCTACAGGTAGTATCATCCAATAGAAGCAGCGAGGTGAGAGATGGGTTGAGTGAGTGAGGTAATTACTACTTACATGCTGCCTCGTCCACCGACAACTGTAACACAAACACAATCAGCTGATCAGAGGACATGTCTGACAAGAGCCATTTGATGAATTAGAATTGATCAGAATGATCTGAATGAAACAAAATGCTGTCAGGTTCGCCTGATGACATTGATGTAGATAATTGTAATGAGTTTATGCAAGCTATTTATAGCCCTTCAGTATATGGTCACATGATCATCATAGACAGCCTCGTTTGGGGGCGATATAGAAAAACATGGCGTCTACGTAACGCTACATGACATTGTATTTAACCTTGGAATGAATGTTGCAACTTCCATGAAGGAATAAAACATTACATGGTGTCAGAAGTAGAGACGAACGCACAAGCATGGATTTTAGTGGAGTATCTGCACCTCAGATGAACTGGGAGTCTGGAAATATCCATGAAAACTGGCGGCGTTTCCGTCAGCATGTTGACCTCATGTTCACCGGACCTCTCAGTGGCAAGGGTGAAACAGCAAAGATAAGTTTCTTGCTAATTTGGGTGAATCAAAAGGGCAGAGACATTTTTAACACACTCAACATCAGTGATGAAGACAAGAAAAAGTTGGATAAAGTATATGAAGCATACGAGAAGTATGTAAAACCAAGGTCAAACGGGATTCACGCTCGATTCCTATTTCTGTCGAGAAATCAAGCGCCCGGCGAAACACTGGACGACTTCATCACTGGACTCAAGCTTCTAGTGAGGGATTGTGAATACGGCAACCAAACTGATGACCAAGTAAGAGATAGAATTGTGTTAGGAACGAATGCGCACCGGATCAGAGAAAAACTAATCAGTGAAGGCAATAAACTAACACTTACATCAGCAATCGAGATAGCAAAGACACATGAACTGGCACAGGCCCAAATTAAAAGCATCAAGGGTGAAAATAAGTCTATCAACAGCATTGGGATGGACAAAATGAATGAAAAGAAGAAATCCATGGCACAGCAGCGCCACAGGTCAACAAGGTCATATCAGAAGGATCAAGGTCAAACTGAAATTAGTAAAACGCCTAAAAGCAAGTACACCCAGTCTGATGCATGTGGGAGATGTGGCAATAGATCACATGCCTCCTCAAGTCAGTGCCCAGCAAACAGGCACCAGTGCAGGAAATGTGGCAAATGGGGTCATTTTGAAAAGGTCTGTTATGCAAAAGCAATACACATACTTGACGAACAAAGTGAAGACCAGTGCACTTACAATACACATGATCAGATCCATGATACAGCTTTCTGTGATGAACTGTACATAGATTCCATAGACACCACAGGTAAAGAAGTCAAATATGACGATCAAGCTTTCGTGAAGCTGAAGCTGAGACAACAAGATACCACAAGTGAAGTAAACTTCAAAATCGATACAGGTGCAATGATGAATATAATTCCTGAAAAGCTTTACCAAAGTAAGGAAATAAACAAAACCACTGCACTGGAACCGACACTTACCAATCTCCTTGCATATGGTGGAATCAGGATACAAGGCAAGCGTGGGAAAGTAACACTGGATTGCACACACAAGAACTTGACATCAGCTGAAGATTTCATTGTACTGGACACTGAAGGCCCTCCAATAATAGGTCTACAGACATGTTTGAGACTAAACATACTCCAACTTCCCTGTACTGTTGACAAACAACGTGAAGTAATGGATGAATATGCAGATGTATTTGAAGGCCTAGGACTATTCCCAGGTGAACACAGCATCCGCACGAACCCAGAAATATTACCAGCTGTCAATGCCCCGAGGAATGTACCTGTTGCCTTGAGAAACAAAGTAAAAGAAGAAATTGAAAGAATGGAGAACATAGGCGTCCTTATCAAAGTTGACGAGCCAACCCCCTGGGTGAATTTCATGGTAGTAGTTGAAAAGCCCAAATCGAACAAGGTCAGAATTTGTCTTGATCCCAAGGAGCTTAATAAAGTAGTACAAAGGGAACACCACAGAATTCCAAACCTTGATGATGTTATATCCAAACTTGCAGGCTGCAAATACTTCAGCAAGCTGGATGCCCGCAGTGGATACTGGCAGATAAAACTAACAGAAGAGAGCTCAATGTTGACTACCTTCAACACACCCTATGGCAGATACAGGTTCACAAGAATGCCCTTTGGTCTACATTCAGCACAAGATGTATTCCAGAAGCGAGTTGACGAAACATATGAAGGCCTTGATGGTGTTGACGCAATCGCAGATGACATCCTCATCTATGGGCGGACATTAGAAGAACATAATACTCACGTCAAAGCAGCATTACAACGATCACGTGAAAGGGCGAAATTGAACAAAGACAAGTGTGTCATCGGGGTGAATGAAGTCACTTACTTCGGACACAAATTCACAAGTCAAGGCCTTATGCCAGATCCAGTGAAAGTCACTGCCATCGTCAATATGGATCCTCCGGCCAACAAAGAGGAACTGCTTACTATCCTCGGAATGGCAAACTACCTAGCCAAATTTGTGCCAAACTTGTCTGACATCACAGCACCCCTAAGGATGTTAACAAGGCAAGACGCAGCGTGGCATTGGGATGCAACACAGGACCAAGCCTTCAGTCATCTCAAGACCATGTTGTCATGCAAACCAGGATCAGTACTCCAGTACTTCAACCCAGAAAAAGAAGTCACTCTACAAGTGGATGCCTCAAAATATGGGTTAGGCTCAGTCATGCTCCAGGAAGATAGACCTGTGGCGTACGCCTCAAGGACACTAACGGTGACTCAACAAAACTATGCTCAAATTGAAAAGGAGCTGTTAGCAATATGCTTTGGAGTGGAAAGAAACCATCAATTTCTCTATGGCAGGGAATTTACCGTCCCCTCTGATCACAAGCCCTTGGAGTCAACCATGAAGAAACCACTGGCCATGACCCCACCATGACTTCAACGAATGTTACTCCGCCTACAGAAGTATCGTTTTGAGGTAAAATTCAAGCCAGGGAAACAAATACCAGTTGCTGATGCACTGTCACGTCAACCACTGAAAGAGACAGCGTCAGACATGGAAGATCTGGACACACAAATACACATGGTCCTATCATCCTTGCCAGTGTCCGACAACAGACTTACAGAACTCAAGGAACAAACAAGTGAAGGCAAACAAATGACAGCACTTACACAGATCATCAAGGCTGGATGGCCAAACGACAAGTCCAGCTGCCCCAAAATTGTCGCAGATTTCTGGTCAGTACGTGATGAGCTGTCATATGGAGAAGGCTTAATTCTTTCGCGGGGACAGAATAGTGATACCCAGCACAATGAGGAAAGAAATGCTCTCCAAAGTACACACTGGACACATGGGCATGGAGAAAACCAAACGGCGTGCACGAGATGTATTATATTGGCCTGGAAGGTCCTCCCGGATAGACGACCTAGTCTCAAGCTGTGGAATCTGTCAAGAAAACCAAATGTCAAACCCTAAAGAACCACTCAAACCTCATGAAATACCATCACGCCCCTGGCAGATGATAGGCACAGATCTATTCCAACTAGAAGGCTGCCACTACATCATAGCAGTGGATTACTACAGCAGCTTCTTCGAAGTCACAAGTCTCCAGGACAAAAAATCTTACACAGTGATCCAGAAGCTCATCATGGCATCCCGGAGGTAGTCAAATCAGATAACGGCCCACAGTACAGCTCTGATGAATTCAAGAATTTCTCTAAAGCCTGGAACTTTAACCATGTCACCAGCAGCCCAGGTTACCCAGCATCCAATGGCCTGGCAGAGAAAACAGTCCAAACTGCTAAAAGACTATTGTCCAAGTCCAAACAAGATAAACAAGACCCATACCTAGCGTTGTTGGAGTACAGGAACACCTCAATTGACAACATAGCATCACCAGCACAAATGAGCATGAGTCACCGCCTCAGATCTATCCTACCAGCAACCCACAAACCGCTACAGTCCCAGACCATTAATTGCTCGGATGCCAAGGAGAAACTACTCGACAAACAGCTGAAACAAAAACTCTTCTATGATAAGAAGGCACATGCTTGTGCACCTCTTAAAGGACATGATGTTGTTCGCATGCAAACCCCCTCAGGCAAGTGGCAACCAGCCAGAATAGTTCAACAGATGGACACCCCAAGATCATATCTAGTCCGAACACAAGATGACAAGGTCTACCGCCGAAACCGCAGACACCTCTCTAATCCCATCAAGAGATGTATGTTCACAGAAGAGGGTGAGGCCAATCACCCCATACAACCAGATCAAAATCAGCAGCAACAACACAACACTGACCATCAGCACCAACACAACAACGCCTGTACTAACACAGCTGACTCAGCTAATGCCACACACAATGAAAAGCAACCCAAGATACGATGACTAAAAAACCCGCTAAAAGTTCAAATATAATGTGTATCCATGAACTGTAAATATGTTTATCTCGTAACTGCACAGTGTTTGATGCAGCATTATTAGGTTGTGTACTCTGTTAAAGTACAAAAAGTTTGTGTTAAGTTCAAAGACAATTCAAGTTCAACATGACTCCTGAGTGCCAAAGAACTGTATTCCCTTCAAGTTACAAACATGATGACATCGAGCTGATTATCACATGAAACAACGTAAGCTGTAGTGATAACAAGATACGTTAAATTTCACATCAAAAGAAGAGAGATGTAATGAGTTTATGCAAGCTATTTATAGCCCTTCAGTATATGGTCACATGATCATCATAGAGAGCCTCGTTTGGGGGCGATATAGAAAAACATGGCGTCTACGTAACGCTACATGACATTGTATTTAACCTTGGAATGAATGTTGCAACTTCCATGAAGGAATAAAACATTACAATAATCACCTCATTGGCGAGGATACCGCCGATCTTGCTGAAGGCTGGCATCTGTATCCCATACTTCTCCAGCTCCCTCCTCATGGCGCTGATTTCCTCCTCTGAAACATATCGGCCATGTTGGAAGCTGATGACAATTCTTGCATTCAGTACAGGTTCACCGTTACTAACTTCACACAGATCATGTTTCATAGTTTATAAGAATATATGTGACATGTTATATTTGGGATTACACCTGCAGTAGAGTACAGATTCAATTAGTTTTGGGGGTTGAGGGCCATTTAGGATTCGAACCCACAATCTCAGAGTTAGGCACCTAATTGCCAGCACACAAAGTCAGCGATCTAACCAATTCAGCCACTGTGGTTTCCACACAATATAAGTCCGAAAACTGGTCGTCCAGATCACATATTTTGTGTACCTATAGTTGGAACGTAATTCCCACTGATAAAAGATTGAAAAAATGTAAAATGTAACTTAATTATATTTGGGATGACACTTTCTCAGTAGAACCACAGAGTCCCATCTAAGATTCAAACTTTGTGTGCAGGTGATTAGGTGCTAGTCTCTGACAGTGTAGGTTCAAATCAAGGATGGGTCTCATTCAGAAAGAGTACTGGAATCTGTACTTTACTGAGAAATTGTAATCCAAAATATACCATATGTTTAAGATGACCACTTTCTAAATGGAATTGGACCTGTGAAGATCCGGGTTAGAATTGGTTTTCAGTAACCCATGCTTGTCGTAAGAGGTGACTAATGGGATCAGGTGGTCAGGCTCGCTGACTTGTTTGACATGTCATCTTATCTCAATTGCATAGAACGATGCTCATGCTGTTGATCACTGGATTTTCTGGCCCAGACTCGATTATTTACAGACCATCACCATAAAGCTGGAATATTACTGAGTGCGGCTTTAAGCAACAAACCAACCAACTAAATGACTGTGTATTCATTTATTAGAATACATGTTCATAATAATAAATGCATACTATGCTGTAATGCCAAGAGGTCACATTGTCCTTGCTATAATACCATGAGGTCACAGTAACTCTCCTATCATACCATGAGGTCACAGTAACCTTGCAATACCATGAGGTCACAGTAACTCTCCTATAATACCATAGGATCACACTGACCTAGCTATAATACCATGAGATCACAGTGACCTTGCTATAATATGAGGTCACAGTAACTATCCTATAATACCACGAGGTCACAGTAACCATGCTATAATACCATCAGTGAGTGAGTGAGTTTAGTTTTACGCCGCACTCAGCAATATACCAGCTATATGGCGGCGGTCTGTAAATAATCGAGTCTGGACCAGACAATCCAAGGATGAAATGCGCAATTGGGAACCACTGACATGTGTCAACCAAGTCAGCAAGCCTGACCACCCGATCCCGTTAGTCGCCTCTTACAACAAGCATGGGTTACCGAAGATCAATATTCTAACCCGGACCTTCACGGGTATATAATACCATCAGGTCATAGTAACCTTGCTATAATACCATCAGGTGACAGTAACCTTGCTATAATACCATCAGGTGACAGTAAACTTGCTATAATACCATCAGGTGACAGTAACCTTGCTATAATACCATCAGGTGACAGTAACCTTGCTATAATACCATCAGGTGACAGTAACCTTGCTATAATACCATCAGGTGACAGTAACCTTGCTATAATACCATCAGGTCATAGTAACCTTGCTATAATACCATCAGGTGACAGCAGCTGCTATAATGCCAAGAGGTCACAGTGACTGTAAGGATGCCATGAAGTAAGAGTAACTATTCTATCATGCCTAAAGATCATTACTGTATATCATGTGCTTTACATATTCAGTAACTCCCAATAAAGTGGCCTGGGCAGACTCCGAAGCTCCTAAAGATACCATGTGGCTCTTCCTCCATAATGCCACATGGCAACATTCAATACATAATTTACAAAATCAGTTTATTGATAGTAATTATACAGCAAGCTTATATTCTATCACATCAATACTGCACCCTCTTATCCAATCATAATTATACTGCAATCCTACTTATGTACTGACAGTTCCCAAGTTTTATTGTGAAAGTCATTTTGTCTAAATGGCTTTCAAATCTGTTCTAGTCACATGAGGATGTGATTTCACTCGCCATGTTCCTCTTTGCAGTGTTTAATCTTATCAGCACACAAAACAACAGAGTGACACAAAGGCTAAGCAATAACTCTTCTTTTTTTTGCTCAACAATACATGTTTAAATGGCTGCCATGTGTGCCCTGCACATGTCCGCCTATCTTTGTGATGTAACCAATGTTTTTCATGTACTAAATCTCTTCTAGCACAGCTGTCAGGGATCAGCATTTGAAGGAGATTACATACTACTTCCCTAAAGGATATAAAACTGGCGTGCATACTTGGTAAATCGAAGAAGAGGATTTATGTAAAGTATGCACAACTAATGTACGCTTATAACAAAATAAAAATATTTTATGTTGATTCTTAAAAGGAAAATGTCAACAACAAAACTTCACAGACTGCTGATTAAATCATTAAACTGAAAACACTGTTACAACAACGAGGAAGCAGTAACACTGCTTAGCACAACAACACTAAACATGCCCCGTTCATTATATTATCAGGCCTCAGAAAACAGTCATCTGTTTGTGGGCACGGCTGATCTTTCCCCTGGATTATCTAAACATAAAGACTAAGGAAACTGATTGATAACAAAGTCAATGCCACTTTTACTTAGGCTTAGCTTTCTAAGGACACAATAAATTAATTATTAGATTTTCATCGAAACACTTAATAAGCATTATATGTTAAATTAGCTGTCAACAAGTATAATTTACATGTGCGGTTGTACTCATCATATCGCACATGAAATGGATCAAGTATGGAGAGAACACAGCTTCATGTGTTGGTTGTAATGACTACAACCTCACATGTGCGCAGGTGTCTGCTACCATGTCCAGTCAGGTGCTGACAGTTCATTCATTGTGGCCTAACCTCCTACAAATATAGTTCGGAAGTGAATGTGTCCAGACCCGATATCTGGATACTGATTCCCTGAAACAGTGAGTTTGTGAGTTTAGTTTTATGCCGCACGCTGCAATATTCCAGCTATATGGTGGCGGTCTGTAAATAATCGAGTCTGGACCAGACAATCCAGGGATCAACAGCATGAGCATCGATCTGCACATGTGGGAACCGATGGCATGTGTCAACCAAGTCAGTGAGCCTGACCACCCGATCCCGGTAGTCACCTCTTACGACAAGCAAGGGTTACTGAAGATCAATATTCTAACCCAGACTTTCACGGGTCTCCCTGAAACAGACTCCCTGAAACCGATGGCATGTGTCAACCAACTCAGTGAGCCTGACCACCCGATCCCGATAGTCACCTCTTATGACAAGCAAGTGTTACTGAAGATCAATATTCTAACCTAGACCTTCACGGGTCTCCCTGAAACAGACTCAAATGAGTCTGACTGACTGTATGTCAGTTGTTTAAGCACATGTGCTTATCTGTACACACCTGTGAAGTTGATTTTTCCGTAGAGGTCCTGTATCTGTGGTGCTAGACCAAGCTTGAACAGGTATAAACTGAAACAAACAAGTCACAGATCACACATGTTGTCATCTCTTCATCTTGTGCTTGTCTGACAACTAATTATTTCTTATAATCTGGACTACATGGTATTAACAGTATCCAACAATACATTTTTCACATTTTGAAATATTTTTTTCTGCATATTGGGAGAAAATGTAATACAAATTCTGTTAGTAACATTGAAAATATAACCTTTCCACATAAATTCATCCGCAAATGATTTTATTTCGAACTGATTGACAGAATGGTTATTTTTTCATATACACTTCTGAATCCAGGACTATAGAGGCATTTCGCTATGAACACAGCTTACTGTAACGTCAAATCCAGGGGATAATCAGTCTCAGATTCATGGGCATAAAAGGCAAATGAGTCGTGAAAATATTACAAAGGGATTACTGACACCGAGTGTTCATGAAAATATTACAAAGGGATCACTGACAGCAAGTGTTCATGAAAATATTACAAAGGGATCACTGACAGCAAGTGTTCATGAACATATTACAAAGGGATCACTGACACCGAGTGTTCATGAAAATATTACAAAGGGATCACTGACACCGAGTGTTCATGAAAATATTACAAAGGGATCACTGACAGCAAGTGTTCATGAACATATTACAAAGGGATCACTGACAGCAAGTGTTCATGAAAATATTACAAAGGGATAACTGACACCTAGTGTTCATGAAAATATTACAAAGGGATCACTGACACCGAGTGTTCATGAAAATATTACAAAGGGATCACTGACACCGAGTGTTCATGAAAATATTACAAAGGGATCACTGACACCGAACGTTCATGAAAATATTACAAAGGCATTACTGACATGAGTGTTCATGAAAATATTACAAAGGGATCACTGAAACCGAGTGTTCATGAAAATGGCACCTGCCACTCACACAATGTGCATATAGAAGTATATATTTGTGTATTGCTCATGTCAGAGCACCTGCTTTAGCATCTGCACCAAAACGTTCCCAAGTGCGAACGACTATGTATACCATTGGCCATGTTTAGGATCCTGTTCTCAACAATCATGTCCGATATTGACACTTAAAGAATGTCATAACTAGTTACTGTGACGTCTATTGAGGATTTTGCTTGAAAACTGGTTTTGACAAATGCAATATATAACTTCTTTGAGTAAAACTATGTAAAGTTATACCAGTAACAAACAAGTTCATTCAAAAGTAAAACGTTTGAAACAAGAAGTCTACTACAACCAACAGCCCCAGCAAGTCTATGCTGCTCAACATGGCTGGGAACCAACTCACCTCAGTGCATGTATACAGTAGACAGCTCGTGGCATGTTTTTCCTATCATAAATATCTGTTGTTTCTGGATAAAATATCTGCAAAAATCAATAATTGTGATATAACTGATCCATTTGATCAAAATTGTGTGGGATGAGATTCAAACAGTGGTATGGTGTAAAAACGTGTAACATTAAATACGGTTTTTAAATCACGAGGCATAGCTCATTCATATCAAAATACACACACAATAATCTATAATCAACATTTCATTTTTTTTAAATAATCATAAATTAGATAACCAAATAGAATATTTTCAAGAAGGCAAAGGGTTGGCCTACTCAAAGAAATATTTATCTTTCTGAATGCTATCAGCATTGAAGTTCATTTGAGGGAGTGAGTGAAATGGGTTTTACACACCAATGGTTGAAATTAACATACCCTAATATGCTAAATGCATTTAAAAATTCATAATAGCGTTCAATTTTTTAATGAAGGCTAACATGTTTTTGTTGATATAAAATCAGAAAAATTATGATAAAAACATTGTCAATCATACTCGGTTTGGTCGTATAAAAACATCGTCACACTCAGTTTGGAGTTACTCCCCTTTATTTATTGATGACAATTAATGAGGGATTCCAAACATAAAATCCACAGAAATTCCACAGCCAATCACATGCTTAGGATAACATCATTGATTAGTTTAAAGTTTAAAGTTTTGACTTGACAGTTGATGTGCGTCATCACTTAACATGTTTAGCTAAGGTTGTGAAAAATAAAGGTTATTGATTTTGGAATTATTTTGATGTTTTTGCTTATTGAAATAACTTTAGCTTAAAAATCACAAGCAGTCTATTGCTTGTGCTTTAAAAAGTTGAGTTCTAACAATGCACACCATCAGCACTATCACAATAGTATCACTGAATACAGCTAATGTACCTTCAGTAACCCATGCTTGTTGTAAGAGGCGACTAACGGGATCGGGTGGTCAGGCTCGCTGACTTGCTTGACACATGTCATTGGTTCCCAATTGCGCAGATCGATGCTCATGTTGAACATCCCTGGATTGTCTTGTCCAGACTCGATTATTTACAGACCGCCGCCATATAACTGGAATATTGTTGAGTGCGGCGTAAAACTAAACTCACTCACTCACTGAATACAGCACCCTAATTACACATTCATCAGTTCCCAATTACCTTATAAATCCTGCAATGGGTAATTACACTTGCTGTCTGGTAAGTTAATGGCTACCTGACATAATGAAAGACCAAACTATTTCATTGTATTTACCTGTGGTAATCCGATCTCTGTCATGGCGGCAAACCAGTGGTTGATATTGTCTGTGTGTCGGAAGTGGAGGCCCTTCGCCTGTGAAAGTAAGTGTTGTCAAACAAATCCCCTCAAGTGAGGTGAGGTGAGGTGAGGTGAGGTGAGGTGAGGTGAGGTGAAATGGGGTTTAACCTCGTGCTTGAGAATATTTCACTCATATGACGATGTGCATGCGTGTGTATGTGTATGTGTATGTGCGGCTGCTTGTACTAGTCCAGACTTAAGCTGGTTTTATAGTGCTAGCCCACTGAGATACCATGCGGCAGTGAAGCATGAATACCCCACTCAGACACATGATACTGACTCCGAGCCGACCAGTCCTTGTTGTACCCATTAACGCCGAGCGCCAGGCAGGGGACCAACAAGTACCAAACTTTAACGTCTTTTGGTATGACGCGCCCAGGGATCGAACCCGCGACCTTCCGCTCTCCGGGCGGGCGCTCTAACCACTACACCACGGAGGCGGTCCCCTTCAAGTAGGACAAGCAGAAGATACTGGGGAATTACTTCAAACCCAGAATCCACAGTGGTAACTTGAGAACAGGACACAGGGAACCTACACTCAATTGGAGCAGCCTAAGAGAAGCAATGTTGCTCAGCCAGACATTGTCATGGTTCATTGTCTAAATTTTCATCATCATACACATCTCAAAAGTGAATCGGCTGTAAATCTTGTATCACTGCTCACTGTGATTACCCTAATTAACTTGTCCTTTACATGAATGTACAGTAAACTGCAAATTTTTGCTGAGTATGTTTCCATAGTATAAACATCACATATTTTAGAATAAGAATTTGTATAATGTGAGTCTTTGACAAGCAATAGACAAGTATTTCATCCTTTTAATGTTTCATATTTATGATATGGAAACATCCTCAGCCAATAATCTGCTTATGATTTCCCATTCTAGCAATAATCAATGTTCTTGTCACAATTTCTCTCCATGAAGTAGCCCTACTCACCATTTATCATGTCTGTCTATCACGTTTGTCTCAATTATCCCATACACCTCTGTAAACTCCTAACTTATTGGGAACGTTACTTTGTTTGACAAAGCAGACAATGTACCCCTGTACAGAGATTAAAGTATTTCCTGCTAGGTGATGTCATTTACATATTTATCAGTTCCAGGTACATCAGATTGGCCTACTGTACCGAGAACACTTTCCACTATACTATAAACCCTGCAATGATGATCATGTAAGGCCTAAATGTTTTTTTGTAGTTCCGATTACCCAACCGACCATTGAATTCTGGTGCCGACCCTTAATTTTTTTAAAGCGGAATGAATAAAATAAGCTTTCAGATACCATTGTTTTTTGCCGGCACCAACAAATATGTCATTCTGATGGAGAAAGTCGGTATGATGGCCGCAAGCTTGATTGAATAAACAATTACACATTGTTAAATGTGTCATTAGCCTGTACTTTACTTCCAAAACAAATATGTAAAAAAATAAATCCGACCTACCTACACTAAATTTTAAAGAGGTGTAATCGGAAGTTCGGAACCACAACATTTTTTATTTTATTTGGCCTAATACAGGTGCCTAGCAGTCCCAACTCTGTCCCCCCAGCCTCCCTATCATATTGACAGTTCCCTGGCCATTGGCTGACGACAAGCAAACAATGTCCACAACAGAGAGGTGTTGATATACTCTGCTATTGTTTCATCGGTGAAAGCATTTCAAATAAATTATCACCCAATAGTCACATATCCCCACAGCTTGATCAATATAGCTGATAAATATTTCCGAAGCTGACCAGAAATTAGAATTCTTTGGACGATATTACTATCTCTTAACAGTCTGTGCCTGAACCATTTACTTCTGTCAGCATAAACTTTCTTTGAACATGATGTTCAGCAGTTGTTTGTGCAAGTATTTGAGTTATTTTTGTCCGATCTTTCTAGACTGAAATATCTTTATTAGATTTGGGCTTCAGTTTGATTGTAGTTGCAAATCTTTACTACTTTCTTGAGATCCTATACATCAAACTGAAAACTTTGAACAAAATCCATTTCTCTACCTTGTAGCGAGTCTGTTCTCTGTCATATATTTTCTTGAAACAACTTGTGGTGAGAAGAAGCGTCCAAGTTTGGCCAAAATGACGCCATTCCGTAGTCCTTCCTCCAGCTCTATTGTTGGGGGCAAGTCTTCATTGATACAGGCCTGGATCCATCTGAAACAAACACACCCATCTTATTGGACTGTTTGCGTTAGTTTGTTGCTCAACGCCACACTCACTAATATTCCAGCAATATGGCAGCAGTCTGTAAATAATCAAGTCTGGACCAGACAATCCAGTGATTAACAGCACACACAATTGAGAAACAATAACATGTGTCAACCAAGCCAACGAGCCTTACCACCCAATCCCCTTGGTTGCCTCTTACGACAAGCATGGGTTGCATAAGGTCAATCCTAACCCGCATCTTCATGCATCTGTTCTGTTATCCAGCACTCAGTGCAATGTCACACGTTAGCTTGTTTCGAACTGGTTACACGTCCAATTGGATTATTGTTCTAACCACAATTTGATGATGAATGACGATTTTTTCAGCAAATTCCTTCTAATAACAATGACAATGAATCCTTCTTGACATATGAATATATTTTGAAACAACCAACACAACACAACTGCAGCTGCAGGAACAGACCATGTTATTTTTTTTTTTTTGACTTGCACAAGTCTCTAAGGTAATAATTAATAGTTTAAATGATAATTTCTAAAAAATAAAATATTCCTCCAACAGACTGGCAATCCTTGTACTGTCTGCTTATCTAAACTTGCCCCTCTGGTGGACTGAACTACTTTACATCTAAAGGGGTCAGCATCCAGTACAGCCTTGAGCAAGGCTAACTTTTACGACTACTTACATCTTCATTACAAGAAGATATTGCCGATGTGACGGTAAATATTAACTCACTCATTACAACAAACCATTTCTTCACAAATATAGGCTGAGATAATACAGAAACTGCTAGGCTGTAACGATTCACTCGCATATTTGGGTGAATCAACCATAGCCCTTCATGAATTCAATTCCTCGCTATTAAGTGGTCACTAGAACCGAATATTAGCGAAATTTTTTTTTAAGGAGCATGTTTTACTTGAACCCTTATGTCCTTTCCAAAGTGAGATATGCAAGAATGGAACATGTACTAGCATTGCAGTAGTGCAAGTCATGTTAGTTTGCCAAGACTGCACATGGTACTGTCGACTATAACTATTACATACCAAATTCGAGTGTCATGAGATCACTGGTTATTGCTGTGACAAATCAAAACTGTCAACATGGGCATTCCATATTGTACATCAATCACTAAACTACAATATTGTATTCATGTGAATAATTATTCGTGATTCTGATACCCAATATTCATGATATCAGATCATATTAAGCCATAGTGTATTAGTTGCAGCCCTAGTACATATTTCATGGTTTACACTAAATTGGGAATCAAAACAAATATCTATACAACTCATCTCCGTCATAGGTTGGTAGTCGCATACATACCAAGCTTCACTTATTCTGATGATAAACTGTTTTGTAGTGTTTTGAAATTGAGTGAGTGAGTTTAGTTTTACGGCGCACTCAGCAATATTCAAGCTATATGGCAGCCGTCTGTAAATAATCGAGTCTGGACCAGACAATACAAGGATCAACAGCATGAGCATCGAGCTGTGCAATTGGGAACCAATGACATGTGTCAACCAAGTCAGCGAGCCTGACCACCCGATCCTTTTAGTCGCCTCTTACGAAAAGCATGGGATGCTGAAGATCAATATTCTAACCCGGACCTTCAGTTGGGTCATTTTGAAATTGACATTAGTCTGCTTGTTCAAGACCAGTAAACCCAAGGAAGTGCTAGTGGTTCCTTGTGGACTACCATGTCACCATCAGGTAGAGGTCAATCAAATCAGTTTGCAGATTTCTGACCACAGCACATACTTCTTGACGATCCTCTTTATTTGGACTGTGCAAAGAGATACATGACAACAGTAACAGACCCGTGTTCTAAACATTGACAATACAGCATTATTCTTCAACATCACAAGACTTAATATGATTCTGGTTGCTGTGAATAAGGTGAACGGAAGTTTTAAGTATTAGAGGGACACAAGTAGTGTAGTAGCGGCAATTAATATAGACATTATTGAGAGCCATTTTGAGTCAATTTAATAAACTAATTTACAAACCAAAGTTAGATATGAAAAGAACATGTTTTATTACAAGATAGTGTAACAACAGGAAGTACTTGAGTGATTCGCTAGCAGGGCTCCAGATAATTTTTCAACATCAGGAGTACATACTCCTTATTTTCATAATATAGGAGTACTGGAAACACTTAAGAGTACATTTAGAGTACAGAATGGATTTAATGGAGTACCAGTAATCTTGTGTTTCGTTATGCACCACAACATTGCTGCTCAGTACTCTTTTGTAAACAGGTAGAAAAACATCAAAACAAAACTTTTTCAGATAAATACGTCTGTAAATGATTCTAAGACTGTACACCATTGCTGTGGTGTGTATCTGCTACGTTTTCTAAATTATTTCCTACCGTATCGTGCATATATTGTATCCGTACATACGCCGATATGGCCCTTATCTGGAGCCCTGACTAGGGATTTGTTGACACCCTATTTCCGACGACTGATCACACAGAGAAGATGAACGAAGGTTGGTGGTTCAGACACACCATTTTGATACTGATTTTAAGGGTCTAGGTAGTACCTGGGCTTATGAGTGAGTGAGTTGGGTTTTACACAGCTTTGAGCAATATTCCAGCAATATCACGGCAGGGGACACCAGAAATGAGCTTCACACATTGTACCCTTGTGGGGAATCGAACCCGAGTCTGCGGCGTGACGAGCGAACACTTTAACCACTAGGCTACCCCACTGCCCGCCCCCTGGGCTTATGCATGAGATAGGCTTATCTATGGACATATACCGATACATACCCATCAGTGTGTTATCATCCAAAACAGGATTGACTGTTATGCATACTGATATTTAAAATGACCACGCCAAAGTTCAACTGTGATATTGAGAATCCCACCAATAAACAGTTTAATGGGGTGACAATACAGATTATAAATCATTTCAGTTTCTCAAATTATAGCATTTTTTATTAAATACATCATGGTGAGGTTTATTGTTATAATATTAGTTGTGCCGCCAGGGCACACTGAAAACATTTCATCAGTGCCATTTCATTATTTATCGTGCCATAGCTCACAAATCAAGCACTATTTCAATCCCTGATTTGGTTCAAAAATAGCTAACAGTAGTGTCTTGACTTGTTTGTGCAATACTGGGCCAGCAGAAGGAAACTTCAGCCATCTTTCCTTCCGAGGAAATGTCAAGTCACACACAGAGTCTGTTGTGTTCAGCATGAGAATGCCATTGCCATCAACAAAATTAAATTCATATATGACTGTTGGCTAAAAACAAGTAATCACAATATACTTATAGGAAAATAGATGGATGTCTCAACCCAAAGAGACATTTAGTTTGTTGTTGTAACAGCACACTCAGCAATATTCCATCTACATGTTGGCAGCCTGTAAAGATACCAGGCAATCCAGTGATTGATACAATGAGCAACAAAAAACACCATTAGACTATAGCGACATACAATCAAGACACAGAGTCAAACCCCCGAAATGACACAAAGTATTCTACCAGCAAGACTCCTGGACACCAGCAAACCTTTAACATCTAAAATGGTATCCAGGTAAATAAGCTGCCTGCCACAAGAACCAAATTGTAATCTACAAGCATCAGAGATTTACAGGACGCAAATTCCTGCATCCTATACTCATAAAAATTGACAATGGACGCAAAAAAATTATTAGCGTGTCCACAGGGACGCAGAAAAAATCCAAATACTTTTCATAAAAATTCCAATCAAGTGACAATAAGTTATCACTGAGTTTGCTACTAGCTGGATTATGGTATTATTTGCAATTTAATTACTGTAACAATGTGATGATCATGATACACAATAAAATAACAGTATTAATAATAATATTTAAGTGTCTGGGACCCCCATTTTGTTGTCCATGACCCCTGAAAATTAAGAGTATGAGTCCCAGGGACCCTCAAATACAGGATTCCATGTAAATCCCTAAAATATTCTGTCACCATAACACAAACATCCGCAACATTGAAATATCCCCCATCATCATGGTGGGGGTGTCACTGCCCCAACAGGTCCCCTTCCTTACACTGTCAACAGGCAGTCTCACACCGAACCTGAACCTACACCTGTCTTTCCTTCGTCCTTACTCAGGCAAAGTTTACAACTTCAAGGAAACCACATGGGAGCTTTTACCCCAAAAAATAAATCTGATAGATTTTGAGACAATCCCCCTATTCATGAAAAGCAGTCTCAATGTAGTCTAGATACATAAGAAGTGAATGCTTAGCACTGTTTAATGGACGTCCTGGCCTTTTCCTCAATACATACGGCAACAATTGTTGTAGGAGAGGTGACCTTATATGGTGCAGGTGTAAGAGTGAGAACCAAGTGCATCATGGGAAAATGAGGTAGTAAGGACACACATTTCCAAACAGTGTTCGTATCTCACCTTGCTTGAAGTGATTTCGTGTGAACATTAAAGGATATAGAGATGTGTCAAAACACACATTAGAGGGCCAAAACAGAACTAACTGCATACAAGTCAAAACATAATACAATAGAAATGATTTATAATGGCCAGATAAATGTTTTACAATATGACAACCATATTTAACTTTCTGACCTTTTGAACAAAGATTATATGCATGATTGGTAAGTGATTCTAGATAATGCTGTAAGTCCATGGGTATTAACTCACAACCTTCGGTATTGAGAGTTCTGTGGGTAGTCAATAGATTTGTATTCCCTTGTTTACTGTCTGTTGGGTATTTGTAAACTATGACAGACGTGTTTAATAAAGCTACTGAGATGTAGCAGTTTGTATCAGCTTCGATCGCCCAAAGTGTATCCTATAAACTCACAACAGCGCTATACATGTCTAATTAACAATAAAATATGTAGACACTTGTTGTGCATTATTCATAGCAGCCACGAGTTCAGGCATGTCTGATGCCAGCATTTGATCGATATATACTGATCTGTGAAAACAATATTTGACTACAGATTGTAATAATTGGTTAAAGTAGAA